GTGACACCGGCACAACTACACACTCCAGCAGGGCCGAGGACCTGGATCTGGGCTTGGAGAGCTCACAACCCCCGCCCTCAGCCTGACTCTGAGTCATCAAACCTCCCCTTCTACAAGCACATTTACTCACATCACTCAAATGCTGTGATTGGATTCAGACAATAAACCTACTGCAAAGAAAATCTGCATGGGACTTTTTGATGGATTAAAGTGCTGAATATTTGATGAAATTAGGAATTTTGAAATGCTAATATCATCATGTTTGAAAAAGTAATTATTTCCAGGAAGTATTATTACTTATAAACAGGGTGATAACAGCATCTGAAATTTGCTTCAAAATAATCTCAGGGTAATGAAAGGAATAGGTGGGAGTTTGTCTTGGTTACCTGTGGCTTCTGTCACAGGTCACTATAAACTTGACCTACCTCTTTCAGTGTGTGTGTGTGTGTGGGGGGTTCTTGAAGTGCTAAGTAACTTAAAGACACAGGACATCGTGGGGGTGACAGCAAAGTAAGGAGTGACCTTAAAAATCTTCCCACATTGCCTCACCCTCATTAGTCTAGATCTCTAGAAAAATAATATGTGTCCTTAGGACATGAAAAAAAGTCTGTTTTATACTCAAATCAATTCTTTTTGTGTGTGCTCATGTGACAATTTTTTTTTTTTTTTTTTGGAGACAGAGCCTCAAGCTGTCCCCCTGGGCAGAGTGCTGTGGCATCATAACTCAAAGCAACCTCAAACTCCTGGACTTAAGCAATTCTTTTGCCTTAACCTCCCAACTAGCTGGGACTACAGGCGCCTGCCACAGCTCCCGGCTATTTTTTGGTTGCAGCTGTCATTGTTGTTTGGCGGGCCCAGGCTGGATTCGAACCCGCCAGCTCAGGTGCAGGTGGCTGGTGACTTAGCCACTTGAGCCACAGGCACTGAGTCTCGTGTGACAATTTAAGAATTTTTTATTTAGCTGCTTTTGGATAGTTTGTGTCAACTTAGAAAACAGAGAAATGTTCTTTAAAAGAAAAGATATTTCTTTGACAGTGTGGTGTTGAGAACCTGTCTATGAGAGGAACTATGTGTGCATTTAGGGAAGTAAAGAAAGACAAAGATTTTCAAAGAGAAATAATGAAGAGGATTACACAATGGTTTTGAAATACTTATCCTTGGCCGCAAAGATCAATGTCAAGAGTGATGTCAGTGCATGTTTGGACAGGCACTTGCTGAGCAGGTGTCCTTGCAGGCCTGACTTTGTAAGGCCTTTTTGAAAGCTTGTGGTTTTAATAGTTTCTTTTGTTATCAGACACGCAAGCCTGAGAATCTTCTGTTCCTGGCCTTTCCCAATTCTGTTTGTCAGGGTTTTCTTAACATTAGTGGCTCTGTTTTGACTCTGACAACCCTCACAATCCTTATGGAAAGGTAAAAATGAGGAATTAGAAAACTAGGGCATGATAATTTAATGATACGAGGGGAACAAAGAGATGGTATCATTCTTGGTAGTCTAAGTATGTGTCCAGTGCCCAAGGAAATGTAGTTTCTCCTAAAATTGCTTTTTCTATAGAAAGAGTCAACATGCCATTGTGGATTTAAATTTGGCAAGATCATAGACTTGGGATTCCCAAGTGACTAGTGAAAGGGATACACATTTGTATAGTTCCAAGCCTCCACTGCCTAGTGAGAAAAGAGCCCAAGTATTTACCAAACATAGCTCTAATTTACAACCAGATAGTAGATGTCACACACACTAGCTCTTTAAGAGATAGTTTGCAATTTGTTGCAAAGTATTGATGACATTGGGCTTTTCAATATTTCTTTAAGGATGGTTGCAGCAAAAGTGGCAAAATGTTTTTGTGAGCAAATGTCTATAATTTACAGGTGAATCTAAAGCGGTAGGACTTGTAGTTTTCTAAGCAAGATGCCCTGGATGTCTGACTTGAACAAAATTAAGAACAGTAATGTCTTTCTTGTGAATTACCATATTTCCAGTTCAACACTTTATTTGTTAATCCTTGCCCTTTGCCCAGTTAAACATTTGCCTAAACCCTCTGCTCTTTCCAAAATTCTCTTCCTTAATCCCTGTGTACACTCAGTGGGGAAGTCCCACTTCTTTGCTAATTAAGTTTACATTGCAGAAAATTGTGTCTGTTCATAAGGATTAGTTTATCCATTATCACAGTCCTCAATTGACTCAGGGTTTTAGGTTGTCAAGGCAAAGCAAGGCACAGTTTTATTGATTTTTCTCATAATTACAAGAGCTGCTAACAGAACGGAGCTCACAAATGAGATGTCTCCCTTTCTCCATGCCCTCCAACCTTTAGTTAGCTAATGGAAAAATACAAAACAGGTTCTTGGAGAGAAGCATTAAGCAGTGATTTTAGGACCTTGAGCATGCAGCAAAAGTTTGTAAAGATCACTAATTAAATTATTTTCAAAAGTAGTCCAAAGCACAGTTAAGTATATTCTTTTTTTGTTTACTCTCTTTTTTTTTTGCATCAACATAATTTAACTATAATTTTATAGTTAAACTGTGGAAGTTTAACTATAGATTCAAGTGTGCCATGAGATAAAGAAGGCTGAAAAACACTGGCATAGAGGGTGCGGACAGCATGTGGGGACAGGGTGGGGCGGAAAATCCCTGGACCTGCAGAGAAGAAGGCGTTCAAGATAACACGGCACTCACAACGTACGTGAACGTGGGCAAGCTGCAGTATCTCTCTGGACTTCAGTGTGCCCTTCCTTAAGTGGGACAGTCAGAGCTACTTCCCGGGGTTGTCGTAGACACACTCCCTGGATGTTGCCCATGAGCAAGGAACACGTGTGTGTGCTCCCAGGCTAATCACTGAGCGCCTCTCACTCTCCTCTGTTGCTGACACAGCAAAACTCTATGGTAACCCTTGGCCCAGTCTTGGCCGGGCCTTCGAAAATCTCCTAATGAGAAGATAATGAACCATACTTACAAGGAGGCGTGTTCTGATAATATATCCTAAGATAGAAATTCATTTCCCTTTGTGACATGATCCTCAGGCAATGGCTGAGGGAGCTTAGTGTGAGGATTTGAATCACTTGCCCCCATGAACTCTATTCACACACATAGCCTGGATAACAGCGTGAGCTTTGCCCCCTCCTTTCATTCTGCTGAATCATCCTACCTCCATTTCCTGTAAGAAAGTACAAGATAAGAAAATACAATAAATAAACAAAATCTCCAATGACAAGACAGGTGAGTTGATTAAGTATGTTTTCAAAGAATTCTTTCCTTTCTAAAGGTGAAAGAAAGGTGAGACTATGGAGTTCCACATTTTCTTTTTTTTTTTTTT